TAAGTGTTATTAGGGAAAAAAATCTTTAATACTAATGTGATGAGGTATTAAAGTACCTTTTATTTGAAGTCTTCAAATATTTTACATAGTAGGAAATGTGGCTGTTGTCTTTTTAAAATTTTAATTAATTTTTTATTGAGGTAACACTGGTTTATAACATTATATAAATTTCAAGCATACATCATTATATTTCAACTTCTGTGCTCACATTAGATTCACCACCAAAAGTCTAGTTGCCATCTGTCACCATACATATGTACCCTGTTACTCCTTTTGCTCTCTCCCCTTCCCCTCTGGTAACCACCAATCTATTCTCTGTGTCTATCTGTTTGTTTTATGTTATTGTTTTTTAAAAATTTTCCATATGACTGAAATCATATGGTATTTGTCTTTCTCTGTCTGACTTATTTCACTTAGCATAATACCCTCAAGGTCTATCCATGTTGTCGCAAATGGCAAGATTTCATCTTTTTTTTTTTATAGCTGAGTAGTATTCCATTTTATGTACCACATCTTCTTTACCATTCATCCGTTGATGAACACTTAGGTTGTTTTCAATTCTTGACTATTGTGAATAATGTTGTAATGAACGTGGGGGCGCATATATCTTTTTGAATTAGTGTTTTTGTGTTCTTTAGGTAAATACCCAGAAGTAGAATAGCTGGATCGTATGGTAGTTCTATTCTTAATTTTTTGAGGAATCTCTATATTGTTTTCCATAGTGTCTGCACCAGTTTACATTCTCACCAGCAGCATATGAGTGTTCTCCTTTCTCCACATCCTCTCCAACACTTGTTATTTCTTGTCTTTTTAATAATAGTCATTCTGATGGGCTTGAGGTGTAGTTTTCTGCACCTCATTGTAGTTTTGATTTGCATTTCCCTAATGATTAGTGATGTTGAACCTCTTCATGTGCCTGTTGGCCATCTGTATATCTTCCTTGGAAAAATGTCTGTTCAGATCCTCTGCCCATTTTTTAATTTGGTTGTTAGGTTTTTTTTTTATTGAGATGTATGAGTTCTTTATATATTTTGGATGTTAACCTCTTATCGGATATATGATTTGGAAATATTTTCTCCCAGTTGGTGGGTTGTCTTTTCATTTTGTTGATGGTTTCTTTGCCTTGCAGAAGCTTTTTAGTCTGGTGTAGTCCCATTTGTTTAGTTTTTCTTTTGTTTCCCTTACCTGAGAAGACATGATATTCAATAAGATACTGCTAAGACCGATGTCAAAGAGTGTACTGCCTATGTTTTCTTCTAGGAATTTTATGGTTCCAGGTCTTACATTCAAGTCTTTAATCCATTTTGAGTTGATTTTTATGCATGGTGTAAGATAATGGTCTACTTTCATTCTTTTGCATGTGGCTGTCCAGTTTTCCCAGCACCATTTATTGAAGAGACTTTCCTTTTTCCTTTGTATGTCCTTGGCTCCTTTGTTGAAAATTAGCTGTCCATGGATGTGTGGCTTTATTTCTGGGTGTTCAATTCTGTTCCATTGATTTCTGTGTCTGTTTTGGTGCCAATACCATGCTGTTTTGATTACTATAGCTTTGTAGTATATTTTGAAATCAGGGAGTGTGATACCTCCAGCTTTGTTCTTTTTTCTCAGAGTTGCTTTGGCTATTCGGGGTCTTCTGTTGTTCCATATGGATTTTAGGATTCTTTCTTCTGTTTCCATGAAAAATGTCATGGACTTTGATAGAGATTGCATTGAATCTGTAGATTGCTTTCAGAAGTATGGAAATTTTAACTATGTTGATTTTTCCAATCCATGAGCAAGAAATATCTTTCCATTTCTTTGTATCTTCTTCAATTTCTTCCAATAATGTTTATAGTTTTCAGTGTATAGATCTTTCCCTCCTTGGTTAGATTTATTCCTAGTATTTTATTCTTTTTGTTGTGATTGTAAATGGGATTATAGTCTTGATTTCTCTTTCTGCTATTTTGTTGTTAGTGACTGACAGTTGTCTTGCCCAAGGTCAAAAAGTGGACGACTTTCAGAGCTAAATATAGATTGAGGATATTCCACATACAGAATAATTAGGACTTGTGAAAAACCCCCAATAAGTTAGAAACTATAGGACCAAATTTTGTGTTGTTTACATTGTTAAACTGCAAATAAACTACTCATTGGGTCCTACTGACTTTTCTGAAGTTCATTTTTTTCTTCCTGTGAAAGATGTTGCTTTCTCTCTGAAAGGCTCAGGGCCTTAAAGGATTAACGGCACTTGAATAAGAAAGCAACCATGCCACATAACACAAATACTGGCCAGCAGATTAAGTGTATTCTTTGGTATTCCTTTTTATTTTTTTTAAATAGGTTTTAACATCCAAACGTTTAACTTGTCCTTGAGTGAGTAACTCATGTCAGTTTTTGTGATTTCATTGTTAATGCCTGAAAAGAAGGACAGACTGTAAAGAGCAGGACTGAACACTCTCTGTCTAGAACAGATGACTGTTACTGGCCTTTGTTCCCCTGTTACTCATTGCCTTAATAAAACTATCGAATGGGATTTACCACTGGCTGAAGGCTGAGCTCCCTCCTGCTCCCTCTGGGCATGCCTACAAACATGGGCCTCCTGCTCTCCTGGGCCCCGGCTTTCTCTCACACCTACTCTGGCTGTGCTCCTCCACTCAAGAGTTCCTTCACCCCAAGAGCTGATTAGATTCTCATAGAAGCGCATACTAAGTGCTTAATAAATAGTGCCTAGAATCAAATTGGATTGATAAAAAGGTATAATATAAATTGGAGGTGTCCAAATATATGATGTAACTTGTCAGCCCATCTTCCAGGCTCCTGCCTCGTGAGTGCTACTGCTGTCTTTTCTCTGAACAGGGAGATAAATTCTCCTCCCTAATTTATTTCTCACTAATTAAGGAAAAGGCTTCAGCTACAAACATTGTTTAAGATTGGGCCAATAAATAGAAAAGAACTGACTGAATAATAAGCATGGAGGAGGCATTATGAAAATTGGCACTAAGCAGGAATGCCCCTGCAGAGATTTAGGAAGGACTGTTCTGGATTGGTAACGAAGGACTTCCGTAGCTCTAGTTATCTGCTTGTTTCCTCCCATTTCCTAAATGCACATACACTGTGTGTGGTGCGTTATTTTTTTCTCCTTTTGTTTTATAGGAAAAAATACATTCTCTTTCCAGTTACATACTGGAATTGTATAGCATATGGCAATTGCAAACACAAATACCCATAACTTTCAGTTTTAGAGAAAAACACTTAAAGCACTGGAAAGAGAAGTAAAAAGTTTATGTTGAAAATATGGACTAAAGTAGGAATAATGGTTAAAAAAAAAAAAAAAGGAAAGATTCTTGGCGCCCAAATTTCTCAGTTTAGACCAAGATTCTTCTCCCTGGTTATTAAAAACATGACTTTAACAGTGAGATTTACAGATAATCCTTAAAGTTTTTTGTTATGATTTTTCAAACTCTTTCCTTTACAGACACTCATAAAGAACCACTTTCAAATAGTTAATGATGTAGTTTCAGAACTTGCCCGTTGCTTACAGAATGGCTACAGAGATGCAGAGTGGCTAAACAATGAGGAGCATCTAGTGGGTTTGGGACATGAGGAAGATGTATGCTTATTGTGAATTGATTATTGAGAACTGAAATTGGGTTTTACAGTAACATAGAGAAACAGAATAACTCTATTGGATATGCCCATCCAACCTTCCTCAGGCCCGGAATAATTGTTTGTCTTTTGGCACCCTGATGGCAATATAAAAAATTGCGACACCTTCCAAAACATAAGTTGTCCAGCACTTCTTGAATTTGCATACATTTTCATTGAAACTGTGACATTTCTTGGCATAACAGATTCTGTAAGTGTGCAACCTGCTGTATAATGAAATCTTCCTGAAGTGTCTCTTTTGAGCTTAAAAGCGTGTCTCCCAGGGGTTGGCTCCAGAATTTGTAGGGATAAAGCAATTTTCCTCTCTCTTTACTCTTCATGATGTAATGTTCTCTTTCTCTTCACTCTTCTGAATAAAAGGGCGTTTACTTTTTCTTTTCTTTCTCATGTGTTTCCATACGTTGTCACACTCAGATTTCCTTTAATTAATGAATTGGAGGTCCCAGAAGAGTTGGTAGTCTGTAAAGCTTTATAGTCAGAATCTTACAGTGAGATTTATTCTTTATCGAGTCAGACTTTACAGCAAGGTTGCTCAGAAATCCAAATATATATGTGTGTTAAGTTATAAGTAGAAAACAAGGCCAACCTATGAAACAGAGAGTAGAGTTTTTGGTCATAGTTAAGAATTATTTTTTTCCATTAGAGACAATAGTCAGAGCTGATATTTCAATGTACACCGAGAAGAGGCAGCTGCCACCCCCTCATACTTTTTAGTTTTATTCCTGCCACTTATAATACAAATCCAAATTACTGTAGCAGATGCTAATCATGATGTGTCTATGGCCAGGCCTGTGAGAAAAGAAAACACGAAAAGGATATGGTTTTCAATTTATGAACATGATATCATATCAGATAGTTTTTCTCAGTGAAGTTAACCTTACTTCTTTTTTTAATCTTCTAGTTGTGGTAGATCTCTGTGTATTACTGAAAGGACTCTGTTAGTCCCCTAATAAAGCCCCATAAAACTCCAGGGATTACTTGTGAATGGTTCAGGTTGCTCTTTTTCCTGGAAGATGAATGTTTTCAGGAGCCATTCTGGTGAGCATTCAGAGCACTCCATACTCTGGCTCGCATCTCTCTTCACGGCATGGCTGGCAGCTCCAATAACGGATCTCTCTTTAGGTCTTTGGGTTTTTTGCTTTGCTTTTTTTTTTTTTTTTTAAAGATTGGCACCTGAGCTAATATCTGTTGCCAATCTTCTTCTTCTTTTTTTTTTTTTTCGCTTTCTTCTTCTCCCCAAAGACCCCCAGTACATAGTTGTATATTCTAGTTGCAGGTCCTTCTGGCTCTGCCATGTGGGACACCACCTCAGCATGGCCTGATGAGCGGTGCATAGGTCTGCGCCCAGGATCCGAACCAGCAAGACCCTGGGCCGCCAAAGCAGAGTGTGCGAACTTAACCACTTGGCCATGGGCCGGCCCCTAGGTCCTTGGTTTTAAAACAGGATTATATTACTCTAGCACCATTGATAAAGAGATTTGGTGACAAAACATGAGAAGCGAAGCCATTTTAAACCTATGACCATAGAGCTTGGTTAAATAACCGTTGTTCTGCACATTATTCTGTTATTGTAGTAAGCTCTTTCATCAAGTAGATACTTGATGCCACACACAAATTGTGTTTAACAATATAGAACTCTGGGATCAGACACTCAGGGTTTATGCAGCCAGACAAATTGAGTTCAAATCCCATTATTGTCACATACTCTCTGAGAAATTTTGGCCAAGTTACTTTTCTGAGCTTGAGCTTTTTCATCTGTAAAATGGGGATGGTGGTAGTACCTTCTCCTAGAGCTGTGGCTGGGATTACGTGAATGAGCAAATGTAAGCACTTAGCGAGTGCCTGGTGTATAGTAAGTGTCCAGTACATGTTAGTGTTTATTCTTATTCAACTTACTACTTGACTGTTTTCGTGAGAGAGGAATACTATTCAGGTAAATTACACACTTGAATAATTGGGTAAAGGATGGCTACTTTCTAGGTCCTTATGAATTACCATTCCAGTTCGAGGGGGGACATGGAATGGCAGAAAAAAAAACCATTTTTTCCACCAGTATACCTAACATGTATATGGTTTGTTTTCTAAATGAAAAAATCCAGGCACCTGAATGTCTCACTTGTTTTAAGTTGAAAATTTATATATGAAAACCTTGTGAAATCTGTGGAAATGAAATCACATTTAATTGTGTATTTAATGGATCATGCCTATTGAAAAAAGTCAAAACTGTGCAGTGTGAAGACTGTTCTTGGAAGTCCCGGGCTAGGAGTAGCCATAAACCTACAGGGTGAAATTACAGCCTTTCAGAGCTGAGCTAAACCCTAGGGATCATGAAATGAGACTCTATCTCCTCCTTCAGGTTAAAGGATGTGCTAAGTATTTGCACAATTAAAAGCCACTTTTGAAATTCCTATTGTGAATTTCTCAATTGTTTTCTAATCTTTCAGTATGGTTAATTCACTTGCATGCTCATGAAAAAAAGTCCCTAACATTATATAGCCTACCTTATCCTGGGATAGACACTGTGACTTAGCCAATGATACATTTTATATATTTTATTCTTAACTGCATGTTTTCAGAAGTAGTGCCAACAGGGACTAATCAATAAAGTGAAGTCAGTTGGGTTCCTCACAGATTGCTCTTCCTGGATGCTGCATTTGAGTGAGGGGCCTTTTTGCTTGGAGGCCACGTGCATAACATGGGCAGTGGCTCAGATGGCAGCTAGCGGGGCAAGAAATTGGCAGAGGAGGAGCTGAGCTTGCTAGCTGCTGTGGAGAAAACTGAAATGCGTGCAAACTCAGTGCGTGGACAAGCTATTCTCTTCTTCCCCTCCTCCTGCACTCTGCCAACTTTGCAACAACAAATTAAAACTTTGTCATGAACTTATCTGATTTATAGATGAAGATATCAAAACTCTGACAAAGAGGTCAGAGTTTCATAACTGTTAATACCTGACAGACCTGGGACTCAAACTTCTGGCTTTCTTCTTCTAAAGGTTTATCACAACACCCATGTTGGTGACTGGGGAATGCCAGGAGTTACTCATTTTCCTCAGTGAAGAGTGTTCACGGCAAATGTTTCTTTCTTTAAGACAAACGGTAATGTTTAGCATTAAAAAAATGGATAATTTTTATTCTTCCTAACTGCACACTCTTTGTTCAGACAAGTGTGAAAGTCAACACAGGGCCTTCAGGCCCATGGGAAGTTTTCCTATCATACGGTGCCCTCTCCCTGCAGCTCCTGGGAACTAGGCGTGTGTGCCTAGCTGAGAAGTAGAGGATAAAGTAAGGAATTGGGTGGAACGTCTGGTACTAAGAGCAGTCTTTCATTCCCATGATGTCATCAAGCAAGGCTGCTCCCTACACGGGAGAACAGATTTTGAACAATTACATGAAATCAATTATCTCATGTCATGAAGTTCAGAACATTATCATGTCTTGAAATTAGTTGTTTTGCTGTCCCTGACTTTGCTTAATCACCTTGTGGTTTCATTCAGAAAGATGCTCTTATCTCTGATCTTTTTCTCAGTGATGCTTCTAGATTTGGGGAATTTTCTAGGCTGTTGACATATTTGATGCTTTATAACTTCAGAATTTATAGTATGGATTTAATGCTTTAAAAGAGGAACAAGGCAGTGTTTTAGAAAACAGACATTTAGCTTTAAAAGACACTGCAAAGTGCAGATCACAATTGATATTCTCCCCTCTCCCCCTTTGCCTGTCGTTTCTACGGTTCATGCCATTTGTTAGGTAGTGGGACTTCATACATGTTACGTTTTCAGTGTTCTGCAATGTCAGTTTCCCTAAACATGAAACGAACAAAGAAACAAGAATCTCCTGGGGATAAAGGAAAGCTCTTGCTCTATAAATAGCAGATAGAAAATACGGGTTTTTTTCCTTTGAATTACCCTGTGTAATGACTGTATTTGTCTGTAGGAGAAAGCGCTCAGTGTGGTCTGTTCTCAGTTACCTTTCTTAAAGACACGCACAGATATCTACACAGGGCACGTGGCACGCCTCCGAGGCCCAGAGCTCACAGCTGGTGAGACTCAGGCAGCACAGGGCCACTTCTGTCCCTGCTTGCCGTCCGGAGCAGCGGCTGCGGGACTGGAGGACCGCCTGGGAGGTGGAGCCTGCCTGCTCGCCGCAGCGACTCCCTTCTCCTGTCTCCGCCGGCTGTGTGTTGGCGCCCCAGCTCGGGTGTGCTCCTGGGGTGGAAGAGGCAGGGTGTGCTCGCAGACCGTGGGATACACTGCAGTTTCTGTTTGGGGTGCCCCGGGAGAGAAACACCGGGAAGGGAAGACACTGCCAGTGCCATGGGTCAGCTCTGCTGCTTTCCTTTCTCAAGAGATGAGGAAAAAATCAGTAAGTGTGATATGCACGGTGCGGAATCCTAGGGCTGGATTATTCTGTGTAGCTGTCTTCTAGGGTTAGTTTGGTGTTTTTCTTATGGGAAAGAGCAGAATAATGAGCTGTGATTTTTCCTGTGTGTTTCTTAAAAGGGTTGGTAGGCGTGCAGTTAATAATTAACTGTAAAAGTACAGTAACTCAATAAATAGGCTACGTTAAAAATACAAAATACTGAAAACTCATTTTTGATTTTCTTGTGTTGGTATTCTTACAGGTCATTTTTATCACACTATCTAGAGTCAGAGTTTGGTTCTGAGTTTCTTTAAGTCATGGCATACGATTTGATATATCGTACAAGTCAGACTTCATTTTTCTTATCTGAAATTGGGATATTTTCAGAGCAATGCTCAATAAGAACATATGGAGGAATAAAGCTGGCTCTAAAATGATGTATATTATGCATTTTCAGGTATTTTCGTGTGTCCTCTGCTTTGTTCTCCATGGAGGGGATTCAGGTGTATCTGTAAGACCACTCAGAACAGTGGGGCTACTTTGCTTCCAGCAAAAACCTCAGTGAATATCTTTAAACAGCTGTCAGGCAGATTGCACATCTGCTTTTGGTCCAGAAAACGGAACTTAAAGTGATGACAGTTGCAGTAAAATGTTTTCCTCACTGGCTTCTGTGCATTCACTTTGATTTCAGCTCGGTTCAGTACAGTCCCTGCATTTTCATTCGTGTGCTGAGTGATTTGCCTTATGCCAGTTGCCCCCAAATATAGAATTTTTACTTCTTTTTCAATAAAATGGTTACAGTCGTAACTGACTAAATTTGCAGCCCCGTTTCTGTCCCGTCACTGTTTTATTTAAATAAATCTAAATAGGTCTACAGAATCTCATGGTATCTGCTTCGGCTACTCAGAGGTCCACATCTGGTTCATATTTCCTGATGCTTGTTCTTCAGGAAACTAGCCAGGGACAGGTTCGCAAAAATTAATACATATCCTATCCCAGTTCACTTGGGAAATCAGCCAGTTTTTACAAGAAATCTTCTGAGAATGCTTTGGAGTAAATGTTGGGAGACTACAGAGCTTCTGATGTTTAGCAAGAGCCAATAAGCTGTGCTCTGAATTTGACTTGTGCAAATGGTACTGTGCATTACACGATGATCCTGATCTTAAAACCCGGGATGACTTTACAACCAAATCGTTCACTTTCTAACAATGAGCATCGGCATTTGTTTGGCAGCCTGAAACTTTTCAGCTATCTGTGAGAATGATTTCTCTGTGGTTCCGGAAGCTTGGGTTGGTTGATTCATTCCTTGAGGACCAGCCCTGTCTGAAAACCCTTGATGTAGACAGATGTAGGGACAGTGCGTTCTTTCCTTACCCACCTCCGCGTTCTTTCCTTACCCACCTCCACGTCCTATCCCTCTGCTCCGGGTTTTCCCAGGAGCACCTGCTTTCCTTCTGTGCCTCTTCCTGCCCTGTCAGTGAGCAGCCTTCTTGGCTCCAACTGAAGAAGTCGTTTAGACTCAATGAGGAATTTGCTCTTGTCTGTCTTTCTTATCTGATCATTGGAGTGCAAAGTCTTGTGTTTTACACACAGTGCTTCTTCATATTGGTTCACAGGAAGTGGTATATACTGCTTTGGGGGTTTACTTTCTCAAATGCCGAAATTTTAAAAAGAAAATGAAGACAGGACACTGAGCTTGAAGTGAAGTTCTAGTCCAGAAGTGCCAATTACGGGTAGAATCAATGCCTTTGTGCCCCCTTCCCCACTGGCCCCCTGGGCTTCCCCATTCTCTCCTCATCCTTCTTTCATCTCTTTGGCTTTGTCATTGCTTCACTGTTTTTCTCCTCCTAGTCTGCTCCACACTCCATTCATGCACCTCATCAGCTGTTTTCTCATTCTGGGTCTAATTTCTCTGCTAAAAGATGGTCTAAAGAGAAGTTTCTCTGCCAGACACTGCTGTGCTGCTGGTAATATGTGTCCAACAGTACTTACAAAGGGGACCTGAAAAAAAGTGGCAGAGAATTTGTTAGCTAGCCTGCCTCAGGAAACATGTAAATTAGCACTAACTGTAGATATCCTGTCCGTAAGCTGTGTTGATAACATGTATAAGAATCCGTAATAGATGTCTGGGAGCGCCAGCATTTTTCTCATCTTGCTGCTGGATTGTACAGGAACCTCCTGAGTCTTATTCATCTTTGTATCCCCACTCTGAGCCACGAGCTTGCTGAGGACCTACTAGGGGCAGAGGACAAAAATGTGAATGCCTACACCTTTCTAATTCTGCTATGAAAGGTGAGGGCACTGGAATGTACCTCCTGAGGGTCACGTTATGGAGAATTAAATGAGTTTTTGGTGAAGGTTTAAATTTGTGGATGTCATTCTCAAAACACAGGTGACCTTGGAAGCCCATCCTCTATAGTCCTGCAGAAATACAGAAAGGACATACCCAGCTGGCCAAGTGGTAAGAGTCAAGTGACCCCCCCTGCCCTCCCGCTGCTACTTTATTCTTCTTTTGCCTGTTGCTGGTGGTGGTAGATAGAAAGGATTCTCATTTATTTGATTTATTGGTGCTACTATTTTAATCCACTGATAGCCAACAAATGATTTTGTGGTCAACTAGTTGTGCAGGGGCCTCAGTTTGTGTGGGAAGTTAACTGTCTCATAGGCAGGAACCTTGATAATGGGGTGAAGAGCCACATGCAGGAGAGCTCGTCATGGTTTATTTATCAGTTAATGCAGCACGAAATAACTAGGCCTTTATTGTTTAAATTCAAGAAATTGAACATTTTCTCAAACTGTATGCTTTTTAGCCACAATAAGTAAGAATATACTGGCAATAAATACATGTTTCTTGGAAGATTAAGCTCTTTCTGTTGCTACACAGGAACGTTTGTGACATTAAACATTACTGTAGGTATTGTAGGATTAACAATGTTGTAGATATTCTCCAAAGTAGTTTTTGCTGAATTCTTTGTAAGACTTGTTTTCTTTGAATTACCTAATTTCTCCAGGCGAGCTTCCTAGAGGGAATGGCCGTGAGCAGGAATGTTATTGCACAGGCTTCCTGACCAAAGCAGTTTATCTATCTCATTAAGTCAACCTCAAAAGAAAACTTAATGATGAAGTAGACACCTCTATAACTAATTAGAAAACGTTTCACTTGCTCTTTTCCTATTGCAGATTTTCCCATTTTGGAGTACATTGCTTTTATGTAGAATGAAAGAGGTGAATGTCCAGAGATGAACCATCCTGCCTCATGAAGTAGTCAGCTTCCTGTCCCTAGAGGCATTTAAGCACAGGATGAGGAGCCACAACTAGTGATGCTGGAGGGGAGAAGGGAGTAGCTAGTGAATGGATACACTGACCGCTCTTGACTTTCTAGCCCTGACATTCTGTGACGCTGAAAATAAAATAGTATTAGTGCGTATTTTAACAAGACATATTTTAATTTTAGAAGTGTGTATTTTAACAATGCACACATTTTACTTTTATATATGAAATTATGTTTCAATATAGTCTTTTTGGGTGGAATGACTTAGCAGGACCATTTATAGTATCCATTTCATAAATGTGAGTGGAATCTCAAGATAGTTTGTTTCTGATGATTTGGAATTTGATGGTATAACATTAATATATAAATTGAGGTAAACAGTGTTAATTTCATGTCTGGTGAATACTTCCATTTTTGAACCTTAATTACTATGGTGCTTATTGTTCAGTTATACTCAGGGAAGTCTGTATTTAGATTTTCCAATTCTCCAGAAGGTTTCCTAGAAATCCTATAGCCTTACGCTTTGCTCTTCTCATTTGTGCTTCAATGCACTGACTTTGAGGTTATCTTTAGTGTGTGTGCTCTATCTCCTTACACCTCAGATTTCAAACACCTCATACACAGGACAGGACCCAGGTCGTATACCTCTCTTTGCAACACCAGACCCTAACATGCTGTCTTACCCAGAGGAGGCATGTTCTAAATGTTTGTTAGTGAAGAGAATGATACACATTTCCTGTTAGGTTTTGAGTATGAGAGAACTTCAGTATAAGTCCAGCCTATCAAGGGACAGAATTTGGAATGACTCTGGTTACTGAATGTACCAGAGAAACATTTTAACAGGTTCTCACTTGGGTGCTACAGCACAGGCCCCAGGAAGTGTGTGATGAGGAACCTCCCATCAGGGGCAGTAACACTCATTTTCCTTCTTTGCCGTAGAAATGTGTTTGCACGCAGGGGACAGAGCGTGACTCTAGTTCTGCTCTGCCTGTTGAAAACCACTGGCCCATCCCTTGGAAGGTGGTTTTTACTGTAGAAGGAGCACAGGACTCGTGGTAGGGAGACCTGGACTATAAACCCAGCTCTGCCACCAACATCCTGTCTGACACTGGGAAGCTGCTGACATCTCTGGGCCCAATTCCTCATATTTAAGAAGCGGTGGTAAACTACCAACAGCTTGAACGTTTATTTGTTTTTTCCCCATTTGTCTCTTATAGCTAAGAGTCTAGGAAATAAATATTATAGATATGATTCGGTTCCTTCTTCTTCCTCTCTCCTCCTTCTCCTCCTCCTCTTCTTCCTTTTCTTTTTAATGTATTGAGTGTGTGCTGTGTGACAGGTGCTATGCCAGGATCACTCGGAAAACAGCTTATGAAATGAAACTATTAGAAAATAAATACTTCCCAACTGTCCTGTTTAAGAGAGGAAGTGGCTGAAAGCCAGTAGTTTGGGGGAGTTCTCAGTTATGGTCCTCCAGGGGTGCTGTGGGGCCAAGAGCAGGTAGGAGGCTGGGACCCCGAGCTGCTCATTATCTGCTGCCCCCCTCTGGAGCTATGAAGTGCACCCAGATCATGGTGCTCTGTGTAACCAGAGACTAAGTTTTGCATGTGATTTCTCTGGGTAATGTTGGGGTAGCAGCAGTGACGGTGTGCAATATAAAACATTTAGTCATAATCACTAAAGATTAGATGTTTACTTTATTAAATAATGTGCACCCAAGAGGTTTTTGATTCTAAAATAAAGTAGGGGAAGATGAAAGCAAATGCTAATGGTTACTACCTCCCTGGGCCCCTTTGTTAATTCCTAGGTTATATGGTGACTGAACTTCCTTTTGTTGCTGTTCTCAGACCTTTTTAGAGTTTGCCTGGATTCTGTGGTCAAATGTTGAATACCTTTCATTGGGAGTAGCAAGACTGTAGACCTTTTCCCAGCCCCTTGTGCAGTCCCTGGTTGCTGTGAGCTCCACCCAGTTGCCCTGTCAGGCAAGTGACATGAGCTGTCCCTGTGTCTTCTTTCCTGGGGGCCATGTAAAAAAGGAGTGGGGAAGCTGATGTACATAAAGCTTTTGGCTAATAGAAGAAAGCTTCGTATATTGCCCTTTCCTGGGGTATTTGCATTTTAACGAGACTAAGTTATGCCAAGTGCTCTTGGGAAGTATTGGTAAAAATGATAAATTAAGCAGTGGTATTGACTTAGTCCGAAATAATCTGTAACGGAGGAATTTCGGCAACTAGTAAAACTCTTTCAGGGCATCTGATAAATCACTTCCTGTAGATAATTGCCTTCTGTTTAATTAAGTCGGCCCTGCCTAATATGTAGGTCTTGGAGCTTTCATCCACAAACTTCAGATACCCACAGTAAAGAAACTCAAAAGAGCCCCAAACTCTCAGTGCTGAGAGCAGGGGGTTTTGGAGGCAGATGGACTCAGCTTGCATCTTTGGTTCTAACATTTACTATGTAACTTCTCTAAGCCTCTGCGCCCTCATCTCAAAGGTCTACTCATTGTGAGAATTAAATAAGCCACTGTCTATAAAATACCTGGCACTGTGGTTGGCGTATAATAGGCCCAGTAAATATAATTTCTCTGTAACAAATGAGAGTGCACTGTGTAACTGTAGTCACCTTAGACGTCAGCTCGACAGAACCGTGGGTTTATTTTCATCATGCTCAGGAGGGGAACAAATGGACTTAGAATTTCTGATCTTGAATTGTTGAGTGGACTGACAAGATTTATCTGTGTAGCATCCTTTCCTTTGGGGGGTCCCTCTCCTTCTCTTTGGGACTCTGTCTATCATGATGCCTTGTTTCCTGCCCTAGGAGAGACCTGTGGTCCAAGCAGAGTTAACTGGAGCCTTCCCTAAGATTTGTACAGGGTCTGTCTTCCTTTGGATTTTGAGTGGGAAAGATTTAAGCGTAAGATTTCTAGTTGGTAGGGAGTGAGGGGGAATCTTCCTGACTGTGAAACCAGCACAGAAGAAAGAGGCCTGAGAAGGAGAGAGAAAGAGACAGTCTTGATATTGTTTGAGCCTCTGAGTTCAGCCATGACTAAGACCTTCTCCTTTACACGAAGCAATAAATCCTCCCCTTTTCTTTGCTTAAACTTGCTTGAGCTACATTTTTGTCACCTGTACAACCCAATGGCTTCAGATACTATTCTAGAGGACACTCAGTGTATGTAAGAGTAGACCTATTCTGGAACAAATATTTCCAAACCTAGTAAAGAAGTGAAACTCTGATTTCTTCTGAAGCTTCGTGTTCCATTTTAGTGGCAGTGAAACTTAGCCTTGAGTGCGAGCTGTTAGGAAGAGTAAATCAGTTCCCTTCAATCAGTGTTGTTGAGCACATCCCACTGGGAAATTCTGAGCACGTTGCACTTGTAAAGTTAATGGGAGGTACCGTGATGATACATGGTCCTTGTTGTTGGAGGATTTCTCTTTAATTTATGTGACTTTTAAAAAGGAGTGTGTTGGATCCCAGTGTGTATTATTGTCCTGAACCGAAAAAGCCAAGGTAGACATTCTGGATGCTCTCAGTCTCAGCCCTTCCGTCCCGGGGAAGTTATGCAGCTACGTCAGCCAAGTCCAGTGAGAGCGAGTTAATCGCCCCCAGAATGGAAGTTACCTCAAGCTCCTATCACAGGCAGCGGTTACCGCTTGACATGGGCAAACACAGTTTCTACAACAGCAAATAAAGTTTCCTATAACAGACATTTATAATGTCAGTGGTACAAGTTAACAGACCTTGGAACTATTAAGACCAGCCTTTCTGTTATATAGTAATGTTCTTTGCCCTTAGCAAATAGTCATAGGCAAAAACTGAACTCTGTGATGAAAATGTGAAGAATGAGTAAGGTTTTAATTTAAAATCTATGCTAACTAGGATATAAATGATATTAATTTTACTAAAGGCTGAGTTGAAGACACTTGAGGCTTATAATTCTCTGTTTCTACACACTGCCCCCAAAACTGATGAATTTAGTCAAGGGCGTTTGTAGACCTTAGACATATATACAGAAAAATTATAGCACCAGGGAGAAAGCGATGTAAAAACCAGATGCTTGTAGTGGATGGAGAGAGAGTTTCACATTCCCAAGAGAAACAGAGCTCGCCCAGCTGGTAAGCTGATGAGAGAGAGAAGACGGAATCTGACGGGAAGGGGGACCCACCTTTGTGACGTGTCTCAGCAGCCCC